AGGGATATATAGCTCATGGCACAGCATCTGCCTGGCAAGTGAGGTTATGTATAAAAAAGAACAGGAAAAACGAGTCAAGTGGAGCACAGTGGCACACACTTGTAATCCCATTACCCAGGAGACTGAGGCAGGAGGATCACTGCAAGGTTGAAGCTACAAAGTGAGTTCAAGGCCAACCTGAATGGCATAGCAAAACCCTGTCTCAAAAAGACCAAAAAAAAAAAAAAAGAGTCAAAGGGGACAAGGCACTCTTCATGTCTGAGAATTGTGTTTGTCCTACAATGTAACATGCTTGTCAGTGATAGGATCTTCTTGAGAATTTGAATATAACTACATTGTTAAAAATTGGTCAAATTAACTTGAAGCCTTTATAGGTAAGTAGATGCAACTAAAGGCTATGCTCCGAAGTGAAACAAATCAGACCCACACGTATAAATAGCATATTGTCTCCCTAGTGTAAAACCCTGAGAGAATAAATAAAACCTGAAAGATATAATAGATATAGTAAAATGGAAAGAAACTGAACTTAAGGATTAAACAATGAAGATGAGAGAAAGGAGAAAAGACAGGAAAAAAGGAAGGGGGCAAAAGCATGCAAGTATATATACAGGATAGCTGAGATGATTGTACTAATAATTTCCATAAGTCTTTTGAAAATAGCAGTTAAAGTTTAGAATTTTCACCTTGACTAACTGTATGCTGATGTCTGCAATCTGAGTGACTACATCAAGAACAACAATGTGTAATACAAAACCCATGGTTGAATACATCTCATCTTGGTCTAAATGTGTACCATTTCTAATGTCTTATCAATTATTGTACTCTTTAAAATAAATTTTTAAACAAAGCCAAGGAAAAAATTAAGATTTCTTGAAAGTAAGCGTTAATATTCAATTATTTGCCCCACCTTGCATAACTATATCTGTTAATCTGAGCAACAGATTTGATGATTAAAAAAGATAACATAACACCATTGTTAATTAGCTATTGCTCTTTTGAAAATCTGTAACATATGTATTGTTGTATGTTACCCTGTTTCTGTCTTTGTTTTCTGCTATTTGTTTTGGCTTTTGTTTTTACTCTTCAAAATAAAATAAAATTGAATTTAGAAAAAAATTGGTCAAATTAAGTAACTTTTCTCAGGCTTCTTTCCTCATAGATGATGACTTTCACTTCATCTGAATTTCAATCCAGAGTTGTGATATCAGAAGGGCAAGATTCATTTATGGGACAGTTTCATATAACTGACTCATATCTGGGTTCATTTCCTGGTTGTGGAACATAGCCATACACTGCCAGGTACCAAAGAAAAAAAACTACTGTCACCAGCTAGTGCAGGTCCTTACTTTTTTTTTTTTTTTT